CTCCCCCCGCGGCCTCCCCGGGCAGCAACCTCCGCCCCTCGGCCCGGGCGGCCCTGCCGAGCGCACCTGGGCGTGAGTGTGTCTTCGTGAGTGTGTGTGTGCATGAGTGTGTGTTTGTGTGCATGAGGGAGCGTGTGTGTGTTTGTGTGTTTGTCTGCGTGTGTGTGTGCATGGCAGACAACAGATATTGCTCGTGTGAAGTGTCTGCTCCAAACACGGCGAGTGTCGGTGCCGCAGGTCCCTGGGGCTGCCTGGGTGATGTCGGTGGGATGTGATAACTCAAGTAGCTTCTTGCTCGACAAGAAGTAGTTGAAGATAAGACAGTGCTGCATAAATGGTTATCATAAGTTTCAGCGATCGTTAATAAATCTCAGCAGGCTTTTCCGGAGGTTCTAGCTGCTGGACAAAGTTTCAAAACTTCAGTTTTGCTGTTTAAACTTTGGTGTATAACAAGCAACAAGAAAAGCCCCAGAGCTGGTAACTGAAAACTTGTATCTTGGTGATAGTCACCAATAGTCATCAATAGGAACTGTCTTAATGTCCTGCCTAGATTTTTGTTTCTGAAGTGTCGCTGGTTCCTGTAATGCAGCTGTGAGCACATGTTGTTTGGAGAATGTTGTCTTGATTTGTTACTTTCATGTTTTTGCACACAGGAGGTTAAATGTTCGAGTGAATATTGAGCTGCTGTCGGTCTCTGATCCTGTTCATAGAAAGGTTTGTAGATGAGTCATATCTGTGTCATTCATTATGTGTTCTGTGAATTTTGTTCTGTAAAGGGATAAATAGGCAAAGGAAAAACAAACCAGGATTTTAATGTGTCATTTGACATGATCTTATTTTTTATATAATTTTTTGAGTAATTTAGTTGATTTGGTGTGATGTGGGATTTTTCTCCCTCATTTTTAATTTGGCTGTTTATGAGTCTTAATAAAATTGTATATTACAAGTATTTGGACATCCTCAAGGGAACATGAGTTAGAGCTTTAGAAAAGTACCTTAGCACTTTTAGTTTAAGCTACTATATTGGCAGTTAAAAAAAAAGTAACTTTCTTTCTCAGGGGAAATAGCAGTGAGGGTACTTCTGGAGATCTTGTAATCCTCTTTGTTGTGTGTCTGATTTGTCACTTGAACTGTGCATCCACTCAGTGTGATGTTAAGATTGGTTATGAGTTGGTTGTGGTGTTATTGAGTAAAGATGATTTGTAAAGGAATGCAGCATTTTTTGGTAAGATTCTGCTGATGGTGGCAGTGAAAATATTCCTTCTTCACAGTGTGAAGTAGCAGTTCAGTTCAGAACTCACCATGCTGCAGCCTGTGTCAGCAGGAGCTGGAGCTGCACTTGAGTACATCAGTGAGCAATCTGTCTAAAAAGAGAAATGCTTGACCAGTTAATGGGGCATCAGCCCAAGCAGTTCTTATCCTACCCATCAGTCTGCCCCAGCTGCCCTGGGGTGCTGTTAGCTTCAGTTTTAACTGAGCTGAGAGTGTTGTTGTTGTTCCAACAGCATCTGAGACGTGTTTCAGTTCTGTGTGTGCACATGTGCTGTGTTCACACTTCAGTCGTGTTGGAAGAGCTGACAGGTTTCAACTTTACTTTCTTCTGCTAGGGAATATTATATTCTCCACACAGGTGTGAGCCTTGTTGTAGGGAACAGGTGTCTGGGCCTAATGGAGCAGGTGTTTTGCAAGACTTAATGAGAAGACAGTTTTCCCAAACACTGTGTAGACCTCCAGTGAACAAATAAGTGCATGTTTAAAAGCTAAGCAGCATAATGCTGCAGTTCTCCTTAGGAGCTTGCTGGATTTTAGCTGTGCCCATTCTGTGTTTGCTTTGCAGAGCTCTGTAATCAAGTGTATAATCTCTTCAGATGGTTTCATAAACTTCCAGCAGCAATATGCTCTGAAAAACTTCCAGTTATGGGAATGATGTGTTTGTGATCCATTACAGTGAACTACTAGTGCTACACTCTCTGTCATGGTGTGGGGAAAAATAGCAAGTAGTTTTCTTTCTGTAAAGTTACAAAGCCTCGTGGAATTTTGAAACCTTTGCTGGTCAAAGTTGAAGGTTTCTACTTGGTTTATTTTTGTGAGAAATAGTTTTTCTGGTTTTCCCACTGTGATATTTGAAGTTGTGTTAAACACTAATGTTTTTCACACTCTGAATTAGTTGCCACAGTTCTATCCTACATTTGGTTAAATAGTAAAAATATTCAAATGCTGTTTGCAGTATTGGTTTAAAATGTTTCAACACTCCTTGGCAGTTTATAGTATTTTAAATCATATTTAAATGTCCATTTTTCAGGACTTATCTGTTCGGTTGACTGATGATACTGATCCTTTTTTCCTTTATAACCTTGTCATATCTGAGGAAGATTTTCAAAGGTAAGTGAAATTATAATATCTTCTCTGTGAAACATTTCTAAATGCAAAAAAGAATGAGGGGGTATTTTAGCTTAGAATGGTCTGTGTTAGAGCTTAGGGTTTGGCATTTTTCCCTTGTGTTCTGTCAGCATTTTGTCAATATTGTTCTCCCTGAGCTGTCAGGGAAACAGCCAAGTGCAGGGAAGTGATCAGCCAAGGTTATACAGAGGATCCTATTGGTGTTCCCTGCATAGATCCAGTGCCACAGTACCACAGTTTATATTACTGCTTTTATCTGCTGTTTATTGTAACTGCTTCTTACAGACTACTGTGTGTGTGAACTAGTTCAAGAAGTAATTGCAAGAGGAAAGTCTGTTTGGCTGGACATGGATTCACAGCCCTGAGCCTTTGTCTTATGGGTTTCTGTGTACTAACTGTACTGTTTGGGCTCATTACTTGCTCAGAATTTGATCATATTTGGGCACTAGACATGAACAGTTTATTTTCTGCTTTCTTTGGTTTTTTTAATTTATTTTTTCTTCTGTTTTGTTGGGGTTTTTTGGGGGTGATTTGGTTTGGTGTATTTGATTTTTTTAAAAAGAGAGATGTGATCGGTGTGTGGATCAAAATGCAGAAGTAAAATAGTGTTTGCAAAACAGATGTGCAGACGTGTTTTGTTGCACAGAGGTAGAGCTTTGTGCACCCACTGTTGAATGCTCCTGTCTGTGAGCTGTGTGTCTGTGGTGAAGTCTTGGTAATGGCTGAGTCTCCCCTCACTGTCCTGTGCTCCTTCTATGTGCCCTGTCCTGTAACCAGCCTGCTCTGTGCTGTAAGGAAGATTCCTACTGAAAGGAGCACATTTGTTGTGCCACAGTAAATTCTGTTTCTTTCTCAGTGCAGCCCATTTGCAACAACTCTTGAAGTCAAAAATATCCTCTGGGGATTATTATCCAAGATGTGGTCACATTTCTTCTGTTTGTCTGCTAGTAATGACACAGTCAGAACTGGTTCTTTCTACTAGTGTAAACAAAATATTTTAAGGAAATAAATTACACTTTATATATTGTTAATTCTTTTCCAATCTGTTTCTATAGTTTGAAATCCCAACAAGGTCTCTTGGTGGACTTCTCTGCTTTCCCACAAAAGTTTATAGATCTGCTTCAGCAATGCATTCAGGAACAGGACAAAGATGTCCCAAGGTAGGGCATAAGTGTGTGCCATGTTACTTTGTGTGTACATGTGTGTAAAGTACTTGTGAGTCACTCAGGCTGAGAAGAGTCAGTGGAACAGGATGGTTTAACCTGCCCCTGACACACCTGAGTTTGTCAGTGGATGTTATTGGCAAAACCTCTGTCTTGGGAGGACTGAACAGTGGAATTGATATCTAGTCATAGTCTCTCCATCTGAGTTGAAGCTGGCAATCTGCACGAGGTGACACGTGCAAGGATGCAGCACTAGGGTTTTTTGTTGTTTTTTTGGGTTTTTTTTTTAACAGTTTAATGGTAGAGAGCTAATCTGGGTTTGGTCAGCTGACGTGTAAATCATTGTCTCAGAGAAGAAGACAAAGTTATAAGGATTTCTTTCTTTCATTTCAGAGTTCAGATGTTAAGATGTGAGGGGGGACCTGAGACCCACTCTTCCTTGTAGTGGCCTTTTCCTGTGTAACTTTTGTGTGGGTCCCGAGCCCTGTACCTAGCTCCACTCCCTGCAGTCAGGCCATTTCCTGAGTATATGTACTGTGGGAGTTTTACTAGTATGTAGGATACTTAAAAGTCAGCAGTCTGTTCTCCTTTTGAATTGGATTACAAAGGCCTTACTTGGTTTGGGACTCCCAAGTCCAAGATGAGCTTCTGGAAATATTATAAATAAGCAAACTCATTAGTTTTGTACATGTCTTACCATAAGGTGAAAACATTTTAACTGGTATTTGTTTGTAGTATTAACTGCAGCATAGGGATTGAATCATGTAAATAATTCTTTTTCAACCAAAAACTAGGCAGGCTTTTATTGCACATGTGAAGATATACTCTATTGGAAAACAGCTTTTAGGACCTACAAGTAGTTTCCAACAAGAATATGCTAAAGATTTGACTATTTTTGTTTCTCACTAGGTTTTTGCTGCAGTTAGTTTCTTCCTCACCTGTTCTGGATCACACACCTGTCTCTTTAAATGTAGTGGAGACCAACCCTTTCAAACATCTTACCCATCTCTCCCTAAAATTCCTACCAGGAAGTGATGCAGAAATAAAGAAGTTTTTAGCTGACTGTTTGAAATGCCTTAAGGTAAAATGAAGGTTTGTCATATCTACAACTAGGCCTTGATGCTGTGTGTACATAAGCATGTTTTTCAGTCTGAATACTTTAGAGGTTTGTGCCAAAGTGTGTACTCTCATTTTTCTGGTTCAGCCCATGTATGTCACTGCGTGCAGCCCTTGGGATGTGTGCCCAGCACTGTCATTTGACCTGACAGAAACTGAGGTATTTCACACAGGCAGTGCATGTGTTGTGCAGCTGTTGGATGCTTCAGTGTCTCCTGCTCCACAGATTGTGCTGATTGCCAGAGCAGCTGCAGGAGGAACTTAGTGTAACCTTTCAGTCTTTGTTCTGCAGTTGGGGCTTCATGGAGTTGTAAAGCTTTATGGACTTCTAAGGGCTGGCAGCTACCAATAGCAAATTAAAATTCCAATGTTGATGCAGTTGGTAGCATGCTAAGGTTTGATTTAATGAGAGATTAAAGGTCTCATAGTTCATCTGTTGTCTGTTTCAGTTTCATAGTCTGGGATTTGTGTCTCTCCTACTGTGCTGTCATGTTTCTAGCCACCTAATAAACCTTTCTAGTAACATAAATTTATAGTATCTCAGCTGATTTGTTCTTCATGTAGCTCCTTTGTAAACAAGTCTTCATGATAAGATACTATTTCCTTATAGAACCTTGACAAGGATTTAACTTGGGCTTTTTACTTTGTGAGCTAGTGGCTTTTCTTTTAAATTTATTAGTTATTTGATATGAAACTTAATAAGGTGTCTCCTTCCAAAAGCAGTGAGCATGTGGTTGCTTAGGCAGGCTGTGCTGATTAAATGGAAGCAAAATGCTACTTGTAGTTTGGGAGCTTAAGATTTGACTTGATGTCAATTTGTACACAGGAAGACAAAAGGATGTTGGAAGAAAAGCTTAGAAGAACTGAGGAGGATCTTACTAGGCAACTGAGCTACACTCAGCAGGTAATGTTAAAAATTAACTTTCTTCTTGTAAGTTGCACTTGTTTTAATCTGTGGAAAATGTGCCTTTTCATGGGCTGGTTGGTTAGCCACTTCCTAGCCAAGATGATTGACTTCAGAGTGAGTGAAAAGAATTAAAGAAGTCTCCTGCAGCTGTTGCAAAGACTGAGCAGAGCCTGCAACTGAGCTATGAAGTTTAGTTCTTGCAGTACTAAACCAGAATAGGACTTTCTTTTGTACAGAGGTCTCTGTATGCATATACGAGTTTTATACTAAATATCTGGTAGTGTGAAGATATATTTTACCTATTCCATGGATGGTTGGAAGTCCTTTTAATTGGGAAAAATTGTGAAACCATAATAAATAAGTCAGAAGTCTTAGACTTCGAGTCACTGGACTTCTTCTTGATTTTTGCAGTCAACACCGTAATTATTTCACCTCTGTTTCAAGAGGATAATTTGGGTCAAATTTTGCAGTTATCAAGGTGACTTTTTTGACTATCATGAAACAGAACCATTCCATTAAAACTCCTGCTACGGAGCTTTTTTGGAGTGAACTATTTTTTTGCCTCCTGTCTGCAGTTTCAGTATGAGTTACTGGAATGTTTTTGCTGAGTTGGAATGCAGAATTACAAATCAAAAAGAGGAAAAGATGCTGCTGAAGAACTCCCCCTTCCCCCACCCCCTGGAGCACTCTGTGTTATAAGGGTAGGGAACATTGGAGACTGGTTTTCACTCTTAAACAGTGGTTGGAAGAGAATACCATGGGAAATCAAGATTATTTGATCCACAGGGTCAGAAAGCTCTTCAGCTTCTCAGTGCTTTACTTTTCCTGTTTAGAGAATGAACAAATCTTCCGGCATCTGGTGCTGAAATTTAGACTTTTCTTAATAATTCCATGTGCTTTTAGTAAGCAACAGTAAAGAATAATCCAGTATTGACTGAAATGAAGTTTTTAAAACCCTGTACTTTGTATCAAACTTACACAGAGTTTGTCAGAGAAGAGCCGAGAACTGGATAAACTGAAAACTGAATGGACCTCGTACACTACAGCCCTGACCAACAAACACTCCCAGGAGCTGACAAGTGAAAAGGAAAGAGCTCTCCAGGTATGGCAGCAGCAAAGAATTAATAATATTCTTGTATGTGAATAGTCAGATTCATTGAATAACTATTTAATTTCTTTGCTTCTCACAGGCACAGACTCAGTACCAACAACAGCATGAACAGCAGAAAAAGGAATTAGAAAATTTGCATCAGAAAAGTATTCAGCAGTTGCAGAACAGACTCTCAGAACTCGAGGCCATCAATAAAGACCTAACAGAGAGGAGATACAAAGGAGACTCCACAGTCAGGGAGCTGAAAGCGAAGCTTTCTGGAATGGAAGATGTATGGCTTCTTAATTTCCACACTCAAGCTTGTTATTTTTGGAGCATTAGCACTGCCTGCCTAGGCCTGTAGTGGAAAATATAGCATGTTAGATTTGTTCATCTCCTCTTTTTCCCATATTGTGTTTCCTATGTAGATATAGCTGCTTAAATTACTGCTACAGGTTTTCTTAAAAAAAATAATTAAATTCCTTCCCAACACTGTAGGAATGTCAGAGAGCAAAGCAGGAGGTGCTGTCACTGCGTCGGGAGAACACCACTCTGGATGCTGAGTGTCATGAAAAAGAGAAACTCGTTAATCAGCTGCAGACAAGAGTTGCTGTCCTGGAACAAGGGATCAAAGACAAAGACCAGCTGGTTACTAGAACAAAAGAAGTATTAGATGCGACACAAGAGCAAAAGGTTTCTTCAAGTTTCAAAATAACTTTTATCTAAACTCTGTAGAACCTTCTCAATTTCTGCTCCCACAGAGTAGCAGCTGAGCAGTTTTTGTGAATTCAGCAAGTGAGCTTTCAGGTGTAGTCAAGATGCTAAATTATGGCTTCAAAAGTTTGCTGGATTCAGTTTTAATGTTGTCATACTGGAGTAATGTTAGTGGTATTTTTTATAAGAAAAAAGAGGATTAATTGAGGTCCTATGAAATTTGACTGAAAAGCAGAGAATGATTTCTTGTAAGGATAGTTCTCAAAGAATTATGAACTTGAAATCCTAAGTGATGTCTATCGCATCTTTATTGTGTTTTGTAATATTCTTTTAAAGGTGATACTGGAAGAGAGTACAGAGGAAAAACAAAGGCATGTGGAAAAACTAGAGACAACAATTAAGTCGCTGTCAGCTGAACTTCTTAAGGTTTGTTTGAACATGACACTTTACCTGTGAAACATCTTCCTTCTTTTCAAGTGTTCATTTTGAGAATGTCTGTTGGTTTCTTTTAACAGGCCAATGAAATTATCAAGAAGTTACAGGGAGATCTGAAAACTCTAATGACTAAACTAAAACTGAAAAATACAGTAACGATTCAACAGGAAAAACTACTGGCAGAAAAGGAAGAGAGACTTCAGAAAGATCAGAGGGAATTGCAGGAGATGGGACAGTCCCTTCGAGCAAAAGAGCAGGAGGTAATGTGACAGTTTAACCCTCTGACTATGCTGCTGTGTTGGGATTTGTGGGATTTAAATTAGAGCAGTAAGTTATTTCCATGGAATACAATGTACTCATTTACTTAGTTGACATATTTATTTAAACATGTAATCAACTTTCACATGCTGCTGTGTTGGGATTTGTGGGATGTAAATTAGAGCAGTAAGTATTTCCATGGAATGCAATGTACTCATTTACTTAGTTGACACATTTATTTAAACATGTAATCAACTTTCAGGTGTTTCTAATGTTACACTGATGTGTAAGAGCCATCCAGTCACATGGAAGGCAACTGAAAGTGTATTAAGAGTTCAGACTGATACTGTGGATGAATGAGCATCCTCTGGAAGGTTCATTGATGTGTAAATTGGTGAAGCCAACAAGAACAGGGTGAACTTTGTCTTCCATTAAGCATATTCCTCTGTTTAGCATCCTTGCATTATTTAATCATAGACAAATTCAGGTCAGAAAGGATTCTGGCTGAAAGTAGGGCTTGTTTCAAAAGAATTTCCATATTGCTTTCGTAAAAAGCGATTCAAACTTCTTTAATTTTAGAACAACTTCATATATTTTGTTGTTGTTTGTGGTTAGTAGTAGCTGCTTGATGGTGTTATGGGAACATTACAGGTTTGCAAACTACAAGAGCAGCTAGAAAGTACAATGCAGAAACTAGAAGAAAGCAAGCAGTTACTGAAAACCAATGAAAATGGTAGGTTTGTACACTTTCCTTTCTCCCTCTGTAAACATGATGTAGTGATCTCTCTGCTGCTGAAAATGAATGGAACCAGCTGTGTTGGAGTTCTGTGCAGAGCTGTGGTTATTGTTGTGTGTGGAGAACAAGCCTAGAGCTGCAAGGCTGTTTGTCACGTGTGGAGAACAAGCCTAGAGCTGCAAGTGGGGAAACCTTCTCTTGCCTCTGCTGCTTAGGGTGTGGGGTGCTGTGCACGTGGGGGATAGCTTGGAGCAAGTGCCTGGAGGGGCTGGGGAGCCTTCACGTGTGGAGAACAAGCCTAGAGCTGCAAGTGGGGAAACCTTCTCTTGCCTCTGCTGCTTAGGGTGTGGGGTGCTGTGCACGTGGGGGATAGCTTGGAGCAAGTGCCTGGAGGGGCTGGGGAGCCTTCCCTTGCCTCTGCTGCTTGGGGGTGTGGGGTGCTGTGCATGTGGGGATAGCTTGGAGCAAGGGACAGAAGTGCCTGGAGGGGCTGGGGAGCCTTCAACAAATGGCTTTTCATGGGACTAGAACTCCTAGTGATGCTTGAGCTTAGGGAGGAAAAATAGCCTGTAAGCTGTCATTTAAGGAAGGGCTACTTGCTGTTTGAAACAGCTTGTAAGAGGTAGGAAATGAGCTTTGTCTGTCTCTCTGCAGTAATCACATGGCTGAACAGGCAGCTGAGTGAAGTTCAGATGGCAAAGAAGCTGGACACGTCTGCCAGTGCACATGGTGCTGGTAGGGCTGGAGTTTCACCTCATGGCATGGTAAGATAGAGCTACACATAACAGGGTTAGGAGGTTCCTGAATGAGTTCCTGAAATGTATGGCCCTAAAAGAGGAACAGTAAGTGCTTTCATCATCTTTGGGCCTTATGGTTTTGGGTGTAGTTTGGGGGATTGGTTTTGTTTTCTTTTTTCTTTTTTAATAACAATACCCAGTTGGGAAAACATACATAAAATACACAAACCAATGCAGAATTAGCTTGGAGAAGTGCAAGGCGAAGGGGAAAAAAAGGCATTTGTGTGTTGTGAGGTTAATTTACTAATTATCTTTTTATAAATTGAAGAGCAAAATGTACTATTTGAATAATGAGGTTAATTTACTAATTATCTTTGTATAAGTTGAAGAGCAAAATGTACTATTTGAATACTCTTGATATTCAGAAACGTGAAAATGAGGGGTAAGAAACATTGCCTATAATCACTGTTAAACACCATAACATGCTGGTTCTGACTCTGTTGTTACCTAGTGATTAATGAGCTGCTTGTTCAGTAGCAGAAGGACAGAGGTCTCTTGGTTTATAGCTGGATACATTTAATATATTCATCTGTTACAGGGTGTGTAGCTTGTAATTGCTAGCTAAGAGTTTTTGGGTTTTTTTTTTTTAAATTAAAAGTTTTCTTTAAGCATGTGCATCTTGGAAAAGTGATGTTTTCTTCCCATCAGGAAGACTCACATGAATGTTAGCTTTGTGTAATGGTGGTTAATTGTTAATTTTGAATCTCTGCAGTTACTTCAAGCATTGTGTTTCTCCTTCAATGGATGTTTCTCTTGCAGGCTGACCGACCCTCCTTTCCCAGCTCAGCAGTCAGTCACCCCATTTCTCCTCTGTATGCCTTCCAGAACTTCCTGGACCCCACACACAACAAAACCACCACTCCACAATGCCCAGTACCAAAGGCAGGCACTCTGACCTTTTTGTTTGGTTAAGAATGTGGTAGCATAAAATATCAAAGCATAATGTTCAACTGTTTCTCAAACTGTGTAAATATTTACTGTATATCCTAGTACTCTTGGGCTTCCTGGCCTGAACTGATCAGTACTAGTAGTAGCTAATGCTTGGCTGTAGGTTGCTGATTCTCACAGGCTTTGCTGCACAGCAGTGCTCTGTGAGGTACAGAAACATGGATCCCTGGGAAGTTTGCCCTCTGAATGCTCTCCCTGGTGGGGACTGTCAGCTCTGGAGTGGCTCTTTAACCTGTGGCTCTCTGTTTGTGCAGGTTCAGTTTAACCCACAGCTTTCCAAACTGAATCGTTGTTCAGATGCTCAGACAGTGACTGCAACCAGCCACCCAGCAAACAAGGAGAAGTAAGTGTCATCTCTTGCATTTTTAGTATTTTAATTATTATATTTATGAAGCTATTTGTCATCTTTGTGTGTCTGGAACTGAGCAAAATGTTTCCAGTACCAAGCTAGTTCTGTGACCTGCCTTTGTCCATCGAGGTGTTAGTGAATTTTAAGTTGTGGCCACAGGCCTGGCTTGTCACTAACAAAGGCAGAGCCATACTTGCAGCAGTGGGTCCCTTTTGGTTCAGTGTCCCTCCTGGTGACAGATATAAGCTATCAATCAGGTGATGGGTTGGTCAATAAAAATAGTTCTAGGCTGTTCTTAACCTACTCAGTGATGGTTTAACTTTAAATGGTAAAGTTCGTAGGAATACTGTAGTTGCTCTTCAGGTGAGGATTTTTCTGAATGAGGCTGTGGTAATGCACTGTTAGTAATACCTTTGCTTTACATTTTAATTAATGTTTTTATTTCTAGTGCTGATAATTTGGGGCTGGAATCCAAGTACTTTAAGAAACAAGATGACAGCATTCCTTTACGAGGGCTTAGTCAAAATACACTTAACTCAGGTATGTAAGAAACAGTAGATCAAGACCTTATTTGAAGGGTGATAAGAGATGGTTCTCTGAAGTGTCATTTCTGCTGTTGTACAGAGTACCTGAGGCCATACCTGCCCCCCAAGGCACAGCCAGCACCAAAAGCTGCAGCAACACCAGCCTCGGCTTATTTTCCTGGATAGCAGGCACAGGGATTTTAAATAAAGTAAGAGTTCTCTTCTAACCATTTGGGGGCTTTGGGATGTGCTGTAATAGTTTGTTTGTTAGTATCAGTGTGAACTGACATAATTCTATAAACCTGTTTCTTGGAGAAAGGTGCCTGTACTGACTTGGATGATGTTTCAGGATACCTGAGCCTAAGGAGAAGATGAAGCTTTAAGCAGCCTCAGTGGGAACAAGTTATGTTAAGTCACTGGGGTTGTGCAGAATTTTCTCCTGTTATTGTGGACCCTGTAATCCTCCTAAAAAGCCACCAAAGTGCTCTGACTTTTTTATAACAGGTGAAATGTACATTCCTAAGAACATTTATCTGTTAATTTCTATTTCTTGACCCCTCCCAGAGAAAGGATGAGGCAGATGGAAAGTGCTGAACTAGGCTGTGCAGTCAGTGGTCAAGCTCTGAAGTTAGCAGGACTACCTCACTAACCCTCCCTTAGAGCTGGAGTTTTAAAACCTTGCTTAATTTTGGAACCAGCTTATTTGAATTGCAAATAGACTTACAAATAATTTAATATTAAATATGCTAAATGATTTCACAGAAGGTATAAAATTCTAATTGAATATTCTCATTCTTGGTTCCCATAACTCTTCTGTTAATCTGTCAATTCCACAGGCCACCGTGCATCAAACATTAAGGTGAAGTATCTGAATAGTGAACTATTGACAAGTGTCACAACATCTAAAAGTGACTTTATTTTTACAGATCATATTTTACAACTGTAGGACTGTACAGAAATTTAAGATACTCTAAGGTCTATTCAGTTTGCTCTGCTGTTTGAGCTCCAATTTTAGAATCAGTGGCACTTGGTGTCCCCCTAAAGAACCAGCACACATGTACTTGTAACAGACAAAGTACACTTTAATGACTATTTACATACTTCTGTTAAAGAGATTTCATACCTTTTACCTTAGTTATTTAAGTGTAGCCAGAGGATTGTACATTTGAGTGGTTTGTTTTGCTGTGCAAAATGTGTACATCTGTTTATAAATCAGCACCATGTTCATGTATATTCACTGGTTTTGGCATGTGTAAGTTTCAATGGAAATATTAAATTGTTTTTAGCAAAGACCCTGATTAGTAATGTTTTAAGAGTACTAAACTAACATCTCCACTGTACTGCAGTTCCCAGGTGAGGCAAGGGCCAGAACAGCAGAGTTTTGTTTACCTGTTTCTGCAGTTTTCTTCCTCCATTACTCCTTTCCCCACAGCCGCAGTGCTGCAGGACCCGATGCTGCGTGTACAGTCCCCCCTGCAGCCAGCCCTGTGCTTACACACCCGTTCCTAAGTTTCAGCAGGTGTAAGTGCCTGAATTTGCTGTTTCTCTGATCCAGCCAGCCCTGTGCTTACACACCTGTTCCCAAGTTTCAGCAGGTGGAAGTGCCTGAATTTGCTGTTTCTCTGATAGTGCAGATGAGCTGCTATCACAGGAAGCTGCTGAGTACAAGGTGGGAGTGGCTTTCCTGGTCTCCTAGGCCTCTTCAAAACAAACAAAAGCATTGTGGGCCCAGGCACAGGAACGGCTCTCTGCTGTTACTGGCCTGTTTCCTGGAGCTGTGGCAATCCTGTTCCATTGAAGCCCCAGGAAATGAGGAGACAGCTGCACCCAGGCTGTGCTGCTGGACAGAAGGGACAGTTCCACCGTGCTCAAGGCCACCTTATCTAACAGCTAGAACACTGTGCTGGACCACGTGCCTTTTCCCATCTGCTGAAGTATAACATGCACTAACAGAACCTGAATTAAGGTTTTAAGAGTCATAAACAGTTATTTAAAAATTCATTAAAATATTCAACTTTATTAACAGTATATTTACATTTTTTTCCTGCTCTTGGTCAACTGTGGTGAATGTTCAAAGGTAAAAAAGCATTAAGCAATAACCACAAGATGAAAACATTTGAAACCTATACAGTACTTTATACACAAATTTATACAAAGGAACACTTAAATAATACAACTGGACACAAAAATATACACTTTTAGAGAAATTCACATCAGTAATTGTATAAAGCTCTCTTCTGTACTAAGGGTCCTGAAATTTAGGACTAAAACTTTAGCTCTGTAATGCAAAAGGGTTATTGTGACAGTCCTCAAAGGCCACTATCGAGCACACGGACAGATTCAAGGCTGTTAGCTTAGAGTTCAGTCTGTGTATTCAAGTTTTGAGGTCCTTTATGATTACGCAAACACCAGAAATATAGTGGTATCATAAACGGTGTGTAGGAAAGAGGAGTTTTAGAGCCAATATGAAAACCTGTAGGCTCCAAACACCCACTTGGTATTTAAACAAGAGTTTGATACTACCGTTTATTCAAAAATAGAAAGAGTAAATGCACTTACATAAGAATAGCTCTGACTGCTCAGCAAGCGTGCTCAGGTGAGTCCAGATTAGTACAAACTTAAAAAATCTGCCATGTGATTTTTAAAAGAAAGGATACCAATTCACCTTCTCCTACTCGAGTACATTTACATTAAGGCTTTGAATCATCTGACCCAAGATTTTACAACATTAAAACGAATGGGTCCACATGGATGCTAATATGTCTCATTGAGACGTAGCATGACTAGAATTAAAGCTCACCACCGTCAGGAAACAGAAGGACACATGCTCATGCCTTGACTCTACTTTTTGTCTCTGAACTAGAATGTAAAGTTTAGCAGTAACAGTATTTCATGGCAAGAGACAAGTATGTAACTGTTTATAAAAGCAAATTTTTAGTTCAATGGCAACGTCTTTGGAAATTTGTTTATAAAAGCAAGTTTTTAGTTCAATGGCAACGTCTTTGG